CTGTCATCTTATTGTTTTCCTTTCTAACTTATATCAAGGTTAGATACTTAACTTGCTCTGTCGTGACATCTGTGCTTCTACATAACATCAATGTAAAGCTTTTAATCAGAAATGATTTAATGGGCTCCAGTAGCTGGAGAAAGAAAACCAAAAAACAAAAATGCATTTCCTTCATGGAAAAACAGTCAAGACTCTGAAAACCACTGTGTTTTCAACTGGGAAATGTACCGAATACCTGCATTTTCTTTTCTTTTTTTTTTTTTAATGTGAAAAGTCTTACTTTTAAGAATTCTGTGTTACTGCTTAGGAATGCAACTCACACAAATATTGCCTGTCAGCTCTAATCCATGGACTCCCTTGCTGCCACTTTTAAAAATGGAGAAGTTATTTTCAAGTCTGCAGTATCTATGAAACTACCTGTCCAGTGATGAAAGAGTATACAACTGCCAAAGTTTTTGTTTGAAATATTCAAATAATGTAGTTTTGTAACTTTGTCATTATGTTAAGGCTTTTAACGATCTTAATTCCTCTTTTTTTAAAGTAAGGGTTGACTGCCTCCATAGTTAGCAACGATGAAGTCATTTCCCCATTTAATAACACTCTATATCAAGGAAATATTGCCTTCAATTTTAGGAATGGGTTTTAGTTTTCAAAGCTTTCATATAGGTTAAGAGATTTCATGTTCGGTGATTCTCACTCTGGAGGAATGCCTCTTTGAGGATTTCCTCACAAAGAGATGCCTGCTTTGAAGATTTTCATTTTTAAAAACAGTCACATTTCTGGGTCTCTTCTTTGAAGATACTTTTCTTAAAGCATTTCCGTTTCACCAGTGTGAACAGCATCAGTCTGAAAATATTTTCCCCCTATGATACTCTTTTTGAAAACTCACACGTTCCTGTAGGAGTCTATAAAATAATCTCTGTTAAATAAGCCCAGGAACCTAATATTGCTTCTATGTAAGGTGCAAAACGGTTTGAAAGAACTTGTGGAAGATGGGATGTTGTGAGAGCACAGTTTTGAAAAAGTTCTGCAAAAATAATTCCATTTTGACATCAAAGTGTAAAGTGGAAAGGTGAGCCCATATATCACTTATATGACCTTTTAAAAATTACTGTGAGACACTTTTTACTCCTTTTAAATTGTAAAGAGTTCAGAGTTCAAGTTGTGGATTCCTGAAATCAATAGGAAAATTCCCATTTCAGTCCAACTGTGCAAAGACTATTCTTGGAAAATGCTGTTAGATTTCTTTCTTTTTTGAGAACATATTGCTTTAATTTACTATGTTGCTGGGGATTTGGGCTCCTTTAATTTCTAATGTGAACACTCTGTTCATTTCTTTTTGTAAAAAAAAAAATAATAATAATTTTTTTTTTCCATCTTTTTACTAATTACAGTTACCATGTTTTAAATCTATGTGATCTCAGGCCTTGTACAGGCATGGGATCCTTGAAGACATTACATTAAGTCTTCTCTCTGACACTGGCCTGTGAGTTCAGAGGGCGATAAGAAAATACAGCTAAGCAGCCCATTCAGCTTACATCTATGCCTAATTTTGTGATACAAACTGTTAAGCAATTGCAGCTTACCTCTCAAGTATGCAATTATTTTCTTGGGCTGTGGCTTAAAGCTCTGGTGTGAGTCTGCTCCTGTCAGCAGGAGTACAGACCTAGGCTGGCAAACCACACATCAGAAAGGCAGCCGTTCTCAGTGCCTGTCAGTCATACTGCCCATACAGTCATGGGAACACTAGCTTTTCACAGACTACTAAATAATTTTGTTAACATACTCGGAAAGCAATCATTACGTTGGTGTTGGGATATTTCAGCTGGTTCTCCTAGAATGCCAAGCCAGCCTTTAGACATCCATCTGTAATAACAGGGATCCATACGTTTAAATAGATCGAGGAGCAGAGAACTTCCTACCATTTGCCTTATAACCTCACAGACATATCTTTTCTTTCAGAAAGAAATCATTCATTTCATCTGTTTCCATGACAGAGCAAAGTAGTGGGAAGAGAGCTGCAGCCCTGCTTTTCCCATGACACAACCCTTGCACTGCTACCAACCAGCTGAGGCAAAGAACAAACCACCTTCAGTGTATGAAAGACGCATGCAATCATCACATATGTAACAAAAATAAAAATTGATCTCCAGACCTAATGAAAGTAAATGGACATATGTTTATAAACATAAGTGGTGGGAAAAGGTGTATCTGCTCTTGAAATAAATTTCCAGGTGGATACACTACAAACGAGAGAAAGGTGAGCAGGCAAATGATAATCTAATTGCCAAAATTTGATCTTTTGATCTATATGAATGCTTAGTAAAGTGCAGTATGAACTGTCACGTTTTGGTATTTAAGACTGTAACACTCCTTGCCCTTCCAAAATAATCTGTCTTCTAGGAGAAATACTAGAAATAAAGTGCTGGAAAATATCCTGTGGGACTTGAACCAGTAAGACAAGTTCTGACCTGAACTCAAAAAACCAAAAAAAAACCCTTTTACTTAGGGTACAGTGCTTGTAAGAATTACTTGAATAGCTTTAAAACTTCATTTGATAAAAGAAAGTATCAACACGGACTGTTGGAAAGAAATGTTGATTAAGGACATCGTTTGCAGGAGTACAAAAAGATGAATAGCTACTAATAAATTTCAGGACTTTGCTCAAAGGCATCTAGGGGATTTATGAATTATGAAGTTGATAAGAACAGATTTAAGATAGAATAATTTGGTTGAATGCAACAAAAACTGGTAAATGGAATGATCAACCTTTCCAATAATATCCAGAGGAACAAATGTACTAAGCAACCCTAAGCATTCACCCTTAAATAAGAAAAGCAAAGAGATGATGATAGAGGTATCTAATTTTGGTCATCCAGACAAGTGAAAAGCTGTTAATGTACAAGCATATCCAGCAGCAAAAGAATTAAAATTCTTCACAGGAGTCAATATATTTGTGTTTTAGGATTGATTGGCAACATGATATAGTCTCAAAAAAAGAATCTGTTGAAGTTCTGTGCCCAGATCCCTTAAGACTAAGGTGATACAAGATTAGCAGGTACATTCTTTGATGTATAAATAACTTATTATTTATCAATTATTAATAATAGATTACTACAAGGTTTTATATGAAGGTACAAGAAAAAATAGTGTATATTTTTACAGTAGAGGGAGGTCACTTGTAGCATACCACTGGGACCTGTGCTGTTCAGCATATTCTTAAATGATCTGGAAAAAGGAGTGATTATCGAGGTGACCAAGTTTGCTGATGATGTTGAATTATTCATGGTAATAAAAACAAAAGCTGACTGTGAAGAATTGTGGAAAGCTCTCATGTTAGTCTGTGACTGAATGATAAAATGGCAAGTTAAATTCTGTCCTGAAAAATGAAGTAATATGCAAGGGAGGGGAAAAAAAAAAACCTAAACTATACATGCAAAATGCTGGAATCTAAAATGAATGACTACCAGACAGGAAGGAGCTTAAGTTCTGTGAAAATATCAGCTCATTGTTTAGCAGCACTCAAATGTAGAAATCAGATTGGCTTTATCAGTAAAATAATAGAAAAACAAATAAAACAACAACAAAAATTATATAAAAGCATTTGGTTTGTAACAAATAATGAGGATCATCACAACCTTCTAGAGTAGAATTAGGAAGGGTGTAGATTAAGGCAAGATGAATTACTGAAAATATGGAATGACTTCCAATAGAGGAGAAGTTAAATTTACAAAGACTCTCAATGTAAAACTGAAGGTGGTATGTGCATTCATGAATGGTATGGTTAGGATAAGAGAGAAAATTACCCATCTATTTTGTTAAAAAAACTAGTAATGGATAATAAAGGAAATTATCAGGAAGCAAGCTTGAAACAAGCAGCAAGAAATATGTTTTACATGGTGTTCAATTAAATCATGCAACTTGATGTTCTGCAATGTTGTGAATGCCAGGAGGTATTCAGATAAATGCTTGTAAGAGATATCCTCTGCAAATACAGATGCTGTTTTTTCCTCAGCAACTCTAAACTCAGCACTGAATTTGAGACAAGGTACTTGAGACAGTATCTCTGTGTGCTTCCTAATTCCTACAGTCTTTCACTAAGCATACACCACTAACCACTGAATTGCTGCAGGACTATTCATTATTCACTGCCCTTGAAGTAAAAAGGAAACAATCAATGAAAGAGAAACATTTAAATGTAATAGTGACCAGAGGAAATTATTTTGGAAAATAATATATGACTGCAGGAGTGTGTATAATCAACAAGTATACAGATGTATAATCAATAAGTATACAGAGAAGTTAGGCTGGAAAGATTATCACATTATGGAGGGATAATAAGAAATGAATGGAAAGCTTCCCCATGTCCTGGGCTTGCAGAAGAAGACTCCAAGAGGAGCAATCTCCAGAAAGAGACCCTTTCTCAGTGGCAGTCAGCCCTGAAATGGGGTTTAGGAGAGGTGCAGCCAGGCTCCACCCCTTCTGGTTACACAGGTGAATTGCCTTCATCTGTGCTCCTGCAGCTGACTCAGGTGACCAGAGGTTCAGGCTGTGATTCAGTAGTTCCCATACTGAGTGAGATTAATAGAATTGAAAAAGTACTGAGCTTTTCTATCCCTAATAATAATCTACACGCTTAACTTCCAGTTAGAATAAGATGAGCACAAGGTATAAACCCAAGTGTTTCATAATATAATCAGTAAATGTGGACGATTCTGATAGAAGTGTTTTACTGAATGGTTGTCTATTACCAAGCATTTGTGCCTTCTTCTGAAATACCTGGTACTACACTTCAGCAGGAAGTTAACAGGGCAGAAGGAAAAGGAGGTGCCTGAGGCAGCTTTTTTTTTTGACCTTCTAAACTATGAGAAAGATAAAGCAAAGACGTATTACAGAGAAAACAGATGACAAACTCATTGCTTATACTATCAGTGTTCAAAATATACTAGACAATGGTGTCCAAAAGCATAATGAAATACTTTTATAGTAAAAAAGACAAAGCTACTTGAAGAGGAAAATGAAATACTGTATTGAATAAGCAACTGAATGAATTAATGCATTTTGATAGTTTGATGTATTTTTTTTTTCCTTTTAGGATTAAATGCTGTTTGTTAATTCCAGATCAATTATTTCATTTCTGGATTCAAGGGGACCAGCGTTTTGCTCTACAAATTCACACCCATTCCTACCTCTCCCATCCATTCTTTTGCTAAGTAAACGTTTCCCAGATATTTGCAAACTCAGTTCCTGTTCTGCTGTAAACATTTACTGCTTTCTCCTCCATCTCCATTATATGGAGGAGCAAATCACTCAGAGGATAAACTGAGCGAGTACCACTAGTTCATTCAATCAGATGGCTTCTGGTGGATGTCACCGCAAAAAAGAGGAAACTGGAGCATCACAGAAGAGATGCGCAATGGGTTTAAGACGACGCTCTTTAATGTCCTTCTATGCCTCGGATCTTTTGGGGGCACATTAAGGTCATTTTCAGATTTTCCATCACAGGTATAAAAACGTTTTTTTGAATGTAATTTAAGACTGTGAAGCGAGTACTGCTTTCTAGAAACCTCGCGCACCCTATGAAATGTTGAGACCAGGCAAAAAAGCGGGCAGATGAAGCCGGCTCCCCAGCAGCCACGCAGGGCACGTGCTCTGCTACTGGAGTTGCCGGAGTAGCGCGGGAACAACTTTCGCACAGAGGCAGCGCGGTGCAGACGCCGATTGGCACGTTCGCCTTCATTTCCGAAACAATACCGGTTGTCAGCTATACAGGAGACCGCAGTCCGTGTCTCTTATCAGACAGACTCTCACGCAGGGCAGGGGCTTTCCCAAGCGAGACAGCGTCCCGCGCTCCCCGAAAGCCCGCCGCCACGAGGAGCACCGCCCACTTCCACAGCCCGGCGCGCCGAGCCGCGGCCGCGCCCCGTTCCCGCCCGAGGCCTGGCAGGCTCGCGCCGCCTCACGGGCCGGGCGGCTGATGGCAGAAGCTTCAGGCACGCCTTCTGCGCGCGCTCGGGACTCTGGCGCATGCTCCGTGGCGGCGAGGGACGAGGAGCGGAATCCGGCGCTCGGCAACGTTCGGCAATTTCCGTGCAGGCCCCGCCGCCATTTTCTCGCAGGCTCTCCGTGCTCGTCGGTCGCGCGGCTCTCCGTCCCGCTGGTCAGCGCTTCGTCCTGCTCGGCGATGGACGGGTGAGAGCGACGGCCGGGGCCGGCGGGGGGTTGGGACGAGGCCCGGCGGCGGCCGTGCCGCCCGCTCGGCGCCGGGACCTCTCCGTGCGCCGGGTCCCGTCGCGGCTGCGGGGCGTGGGAGCGGCCGCTGGCCGGCGGCGCGGGGACGGCCGGGTTCCGGCCGCGGGAGGGCCGGAGCGCGAGGCCCCGCGCCGGGTGGGGAAGGGGAGCTCGGCCTCCCCGACGCGGGCCCTTGTTTGGGGTCTCCGAGGGCTGTGGGCCGCGCGATCCCGCCCCCTGCTCGGTGCGCTGCTACCCCGCGCCGCCCTCGGGCGCCCCTCGGCCCTGCCGTGGCCCCCGGGCGCGGGGCGAGGAGCCGCTCCGTGCGGCACGCGGCGTTTCGGAGCTGGCTGGGGAGGAGGAGCGATACCGGCGGGAGATCTTTTGTTTTCAGACGCTGCCCGGTAGCCCTCTGGCTTCCTCCCCTCCCCAGGTAGAAAGATGCCTTTGTGTATGCGGGAGACGGGCTGTAAGAGCCAAAGAAAGGAACGCTCTGGAGGAGCCGAGAGGCAGCGAGGGCCTCGGTCTGGCGGGCAGAAGGCTCAGCGCCCGAAGTTTTGGACCCGGGGGGGAGGGAGCTGCTGGCTGCTGCCTTCATCAGTATAAACACAGCACCTTCCTGCTGCTAGATGCCCAGCAAGTTATTTGTTCTGGCACAAACACAGAAGCAATCCCTTTGGTATGCTTTAGGAGTGTAACCTTTCAACTCTGAGAGTTTTAAAGGCTTATTATGGTTACTTCTGACTGTAATGTTGGGAGTTACAAGTCCAGCTGAAGAAGTCTTGGCACTGATGAGTGTTATTACGCTGTGGAATGCTTTCACCCGTTCATATTTTGCATTTTTTTTTTCTGGTGGTGTTTTCTGCTCCCTTTGGAGTTTTGTTGCATAGTGTAAGTTAGAGTGTTCTAGCGTCTAGGAATCTTCATCTAGGAAGATGGTGTGTCTTGGCATACCTGTTGCAGAGTTCCATGTAGATAGGATATCTGATGGTTAAATTTTGATACCAGCCAATGTGTTTTTTTTCCAAGCTCATTTCAAAGCCTATGTTTATTGCTTTCTTCTGTAAGGAGATCTCTTAAGTTGAACTGGATGCCTAGTTACAGGGTTTGTGAGAAAAGTTCTGTGTTTACTTTTAAGTTCTTCCCTTTTTCACCCTGTTTGTGATCTCATGTCATCCAGAAACCCATGTTTCCTGAATGTACTGCCTAGTAGTGTGTTGCATTAGAGTAATGTTTACCTGAAACTTTGAACTCCGTAGAAACCTATGAACAGGTGGAGCTTTTGTAGTTTTCCCCTCTATACCCTCTGTCATCTTTTTTTTCTTTGGCCACATTTTATGGATTGGGAAAGTTGTTAACTAATTTGATCCCTAATTACTCTGATGTTGCAGAACAAACCAACAAAAGCCCTTGGTTTTATGAGAACAAATTTGTTGACTTATGTTTCTTTTTTTTTTCTTACAGCATTGTCACTGATGTTGCAGTTGGTGTGAAGGTAGGATGTGCACTTAACAAATAAGCGGGTACACTGCTGATACAAAATGAACTGCTTTGAGCATGTGTCATTGCGAATTTTAAGACTTTAAGCAGTCATTGTCAGCTGATATTTAGTCAGCAGTATATGCTTTATTAACAAAAAATCCCTAGAGATAAATTGGAGACCCTACACAAAAGACTCTTCTAGGCACTAGACTGTAAACAGGAGTTCTAAATTAATGTAGTGCTATCAGATTCCTATTTTAAAGCTTTATTTTGCAGATCATTTTTCAAAACAGTGCTTGACTTTTTCTCTCCAAGTTTAGCTATGAACTTATCATATTTGTTAAAACAAGGAAGGAGTTTCCTGTAGGTTATTAATTATTGATTTCACTTCTGTATCCAGTTTTGTTGCAAGAACTGGATCAGTACTTCATAAAGACAGCTTGAGAAATAATGAGAATGGAAAGATCTGTGGGAAAAGGGAACTTAACTTGTTAATGCATGTAATAAATCCTATTTCAGGGGTATGCATGAAAGTTTTCTAGTGAATATGGTCTCTCTACTTGTTTGGGGAGTTTGTAGCTGTGCTACATAGCTGCCTTTTCACCTGATGCTGGTTTATGTTAACTGTTTGGTGAACCAGGTTTTGTGTAGTAAAGCTGCCTAGCTCAGGTTCAGTAGTGGTTCTGCTGGATTTGGGCTAGCTCTTACATAATACAATTAGCCTTTAGATAACAGCGGCTACTGTGTTGGGTGAACCTGCATTATGTTTGAATAAGCTCTCTTCTAGGAGAAGTTGTAATAAACTGTATGTTCTGGACCTACCTGGGTCTATGTGTGTGTTCAGTACTGCAGATATATCATTCTTGGAGTCAGAAGTACAGTTATTAAAGTACTTCCATGAGAGCTTATTCCATTCAGAAATACAGACTGGTACAATTGTTTCCCCATTACCTGGGAGGACAGTGTCAACTGCCTACAACTGTAGGAGTGTATTTGACAGTTAAATTCAAGTCTTTCAGAAATAAACTGCACCACACAAAGAACTTTGTGGCAAAACAATTCATAAAATCACTTTCAGTCATTTCTAATGAAGAAGCAATTTCAGACAATCCGTGCATTATTTGAACATAAAATTCTGATGTTCTTAATTCAGTAGTTGATTCAATATCAATTCTTAGTACGAGTAACTTAGAATCGTACAAGAATTTGAACATTCCTGACATACTTTGTGTGTAGAGCAATTTTGGAACCATATTTTCAGGTACTAGCAAGGCAGTGAATGAAGGCGCATCAAATAGCATAACTACTTCTTTCTGCTGATTGTAGAAATTGTGGATGTAATATAAGAAAGGCAAGGGAAGTGTATCAGAAAATGATTAAGTTAAAAACAGGGAAATGCAAACAAGTACATAAAGACATGATCTTTGTCACATGAAAATGGTATTGTTGATATTAAAGGAAACAATCTGTACACAGGAGCATAGGGAAGAAAATAAAGACGATGGTTTTCTGAAGGAAGCTGTTAATATAAGTGGGATAAGGTGGAATGTCTCCTGGAGCTTCTGTAACTGTCTCAGGACACCAAGAAGAATGTGACGTGGAATTTCTTACCAATTCATATTCATGGTTTGCATAAGCAGTCTAATGTTGGCTCTCATCCTATTTTCTAGAAAGCATTGTGAAACACTTGTGTGTTTCTTTTCTCCAGTGGGTGTTCATTGTTGTTAAGAAACCTAATGCTCTAAAGCTGAGGGATGCTTTACCTATTAATAGGTATAGAAGATAGGGAAAATTCATGGGGCTTTAACTTAGCTGTCATCTGTTCTTAGGGGTGTATTGGGAGTGGGTAGAGAGCAGCTTTTGAGTGCCAAGGTCTTGCATCAGCAGATTTAATGCTCTTTTATACTGCTTTTATCATGATTGGACAGCCATTAGAAGCAGACAAGGATTTACCTGTACTTGCACATGATCAACTTACCCAGGCTGTTTGTGTGACCTTACACTTTCTTGAGGATTTTTTCTACCTTCTGTATGTATGCTGATCAGCTATAGAGCTTATTTCCTTATGCTTGGAGAAATGGACTGTGACCCTTCTCTTAGAAAATACAATTTATCAAAATAATCATCAGTGATACAACTATGGAGATTGTGTTAACTATTTTGTGGTAGGCTGCTTTTGTAAGCAGAAAAGCGAGCTTGTTAGCTATGTTTTAAACCCATTTGTTAAGACTTGTAGTGGCAGTTAGCAAGTATAGACAGGGAATTGTCTTTGAGTTAAAGAAAAAAAAAGGGTTTTCAGCTTTGGGATCTGTATGTAGGCGAGAATAAATAAAGGGCATACTTGCTTGTAATATTCTCAGTTATATAGTCTAACTGCAAATTTCTAATGAGGTTGTTAAATTTAAGTTATTATCGTTTATATGCAGCATGGCTTGATTTAAAGCATTTTGTTCAACAAACTCTTCAGTGTTTCATCTTTATTTTATTTGTGTGCTGAGTCAGAAGAAATTAATACCAAAAGCTGAGGAAAGCATTCAGCACAAAATGAAGGAGTGGAGAAATGATGAATGTTATTTGAAAGCTTGGTTTATGTGCTGCAAATGTGGTGTTCTGTCTAAAATCAAATGTGTTATGAGAGCATACTTCCCAGCTAATATCTGTCAGAGAGGCAGTCTGCTTATTTTGTGGAAGAATTAGAATATGTCAAAATGCAGATGACTTGTGGCCATAATGTGAAGCAATTCATAGAAGCAAAAAAAAATCATACTTGATTTGATATGTAGTCTCTTGTTCGGCTGACTTAGAATTCATGGTGTGCCTTTGCACAAAGTACACCCCTTACAGTACAATTTAGTTAGCAGTATGAAAATACTGAGTTTTAACTCTGTGTCAGATGTTACTTTGTGAACTCCCACTGTATATAAACAGTTGTATAAAGTTTTTTGAGTAGAACAACAGATATAAGGCTTCCAGTAGTGACAGTAATACTGTGTCAAATGTTACTTCTTCAGGTTTTCATTTCTTGAAGAAATTCTGTACATCTTAAGTTTATGGATTTCTTTGTACACGCTTTTGGAAGCTGTCATGTTGTATAAAATGTTTTTTCTAACTGTACATTTTAGTTGCTCTGTTTTTATTGCGTGTGGTCCATAGTTATTAAAACAAAATGGCATTCCAAATTTCAGGGAGTTTCAGAGACAAGCTAGCATCTTATGTCTGTAGTCAGTGAGGAATGTCAATTTTGGCATTTTGACATCTGGATCTGACAGCTGTAGTTAGAATTGCTGTCTTGTGTTCTTACAGTTACGACGCTTTAATCTGGCCAAGTAAAATTACTTGGTACTTGGAGTGGTGGAGGGCTTTCAACGCAGTGAATGTAGGAAGTATATAATCTATCTTTTCTCTGGAGTAATAACGAAAATCTTCAGAGATGCAGAAGCTGTGATGGAAAGAATGCACCTCGCAGAGATGCAGGGAATAACTATACAGTGAACTGCTAGTTGGTATTGATAGTTCTCTTTGTAAGTGTGGGCCACTTCAGCTTAATGTATCATCTTTCTCCTGATTGGCATGAGTAGCTGTGCAGTGAATGTGGCCTGAACAATTGAGTGACTCATTTGGGGATGTGCATTGCATGTTTCAGGATGGCTACAGTCAGTCTGCTTATGACACTCTACCTGATGAGCAGAAAAAGTATGGGGGGAAAAGGTTTCCTTTCTTCGTTCTTTCTTCTAATACGTTTACATGGTACATAGCATTTGGGAATTTCTAACACCGTAGAGCTGCTTTGGGTTACAGTCTGGCCAAGAGCGGAGCTTCAGCTGCCAAATGTGAACAGCCCAGGTTATGTCTAGGAAAAGAAAGCTCGTATGTTACTGTAAATACAGGTTTGTTTTGAAGATCTGGGAAAAGGATTTTTTCCCAAGAGTGAGAGCATCAACTTTTTTAGAAGGCTTAAGAAAAAAGGAAATTCATTGTGGTTTTAGTTGGTAATATTAGGGTTGAGTGGGAGATGCAAGAACATAGCATACTAGTATTTTTTTATTAGCTTTCTGACAAGTGGTGTATCACAAAGGTCCTCTTTTTCCTGATTGCTGAAATTTAACAGTGTGGAGGAAAGGCAGTAGCTAAAACCAGCACAAAGTTGAAGGAGAGAAATAAGAGAGCAGTGATTAACAGTGTTTGTAAGTATTCCCTAAGCAGTATTCAATTCTTTTTTTTTTTTTTTTAACTCAAATTCTGAGATATTCTCTTCTCCTAGGAAATTATAGAAAACTGACTGGTTTTTGCTACTAATAATGGAGAGCTTCGTTATGGTGGAAACATATTTTGGTCATATTGTGACTTTTTATTTAAGCTGTTTGTAATATACTTTAGTAAAGGAAGCGTAGGAATAATCTATTAGAAATTCTAGCAAGTTAACAAAAGATAAGTTTAGCCTCCCTTTAGGAAAAGAGAAAATGTATTTTAGTAGATTTTTCCCTTCTGTTTCTTTTTTTTCCCTAGATCTACTGTTTCACCTTGATGGTCATTGCTCTTAGATAAGAGGAGGGCAATGGAAGCATAGGAAATTGATTCTCTTGTACAGACAAATGCCATGTGATGATCTGTTTTATTTTTCGTAAAGTACTAGAGTGTCTCATACCAATTGGGCTGTTAGTAGGTTAGACCAAGTTTCTGCTAGGGGCAGTGGCATGAAAGATGTTTGCCTGTGAATTGGAGAAACTGTTAGCTGGGATAATGTTTACAATTGAACCTTTATATTCAGCAATATTTTGTTACAGTAGCGCTAGTAAGCAAAAATATTCGGAACGTTCTAACAGTGAAGTGGGAATGATATGTGATTGAAGTTTGTAAGTGTGGAACTGGCATCTGGATTTATTTCTTCAGCAGGAATATGTAAAGTATGTCCTTGATGGCAAAAGCAACTGAAACAATACAATGAAAGACGCCTGCTGTTTATAAAAGATGTTAAAGTGGACCCTGTTGCAGGTGGTTTTCATATTTGTTCTC